GGAGTTAGGAGGGGTAGAGGTAGACCTAGATTAGATTACTGTTCGCAAATAGTTAAGGATGTGGGCTGTTCTAGTTTTAGGGAAATGCGAAGTTTAGCTCAGGATAGGAAAGAGTGGAGGTACGTGTCCAACCAGTCTTAGGACTGATGACCTTATGATGATGATGAAATAATAAATTCGTGTGGAACTAAAGAGCCGCAGCTTCACATCCAAAGAGCCGCATGTGGCTCGCGAGCCGCAGGTTGCCGACCCCTGCTCTAGACCAACACAATGGATGCCCGCTAGATCGAGATCAAGATTCAGGTAAGGTCTAACAGAAAATATCTCTTGCTTTTTTGTAGACTGTCCTAAAGTAATTGAAGTCACATTACTTTGTGACTTATATGAAAAGATGACTGAAGCTATTTGTTACCAATTTCCTTATACCATTTCAAATGACGATAGCGAATTTCGAAAATTACATTTAACTTGATATCTCTATGTTCAGTTATCAACTCGCCACTACTGTATACTGTAATGAAATAAAACACGACTTCGCCGCTCGTGCCGTCCTTGATGACCTCGGGGAGCTTCATTAACTTAAAAAGATCGATCCGAAGATTGCTTACTAATAAAAATAACCTATTCATTCTCACTCAGTCAACGTGATACCATCAAATAACGATGCCCAAAGATAAATATCTAATGTGTACATAATAATTATTACTTAGTTTCGCGTAAGGTAGAAATTAGATTAGTTTTCGTTGAAATTTAATACGAAATACTTTACACACTATACGTTTTAGAAAATACTACAAATGGCGCAATAAACGCCATCTGTAGCACGGTGCTACTGCTACATATTAAGATTACGTATGCTGCAACAAGGTCCACTTGTGTGGATATCTACTTGCTGAAAACGAATCCCGGCGTATCCAACCTCGACGTGATAGGCACGTTAGCTTAATCGAATAAAATAATTCGAAATAGTCTGTATTCTGTCGAAACTGCCAAACGCGGATCGCGACTTCGGTCTTTTTGGGATCTCATCAGCGCGTCGCAGGCAGCTCCGACAGAACACAGACCAACTTTTACCTGCAGGTAAGCTAACGTGCCTATCACGTTGAGGTTGGCTACGCCGGGATTCGTTTTCAGCAAGTAGATATCCACACAAGTGGACCTTGTTGGAGCATACGTAATCCTAAAATGTAGCATCGTGCTACAGTGCGTTTACTGCGCCATTTGTAGTATTTTCTAAAACGTACTGTTAAGACGGCAGGTAAAAGTTGGTCTGTGTTCTGTCGGAGCTTCCGCGTCTGGCAGTTTCGACAGAATACAGACCATTTCGAATTATTTTACTTTAGACACTTTTGCAGAATTCAGTAATGCTTTGTAAGCTATCATGAACTTATTTTCTACCCATTGGAAACACTGATGTTAGACTAGGGAAAACCTTAAATTTTCATTCGTTCATAGTCTATTGATATTTCTTTCGTGTATAGACTTTCAACGTAAAGTATATATAGAAAATTAACTGAAAATCAAATCATCATTGAGTGCGGAAGTATTTTCAGGAGGAAATATTCGGAAAACCGATAAATTTAGTTTAATCGTCGCTTTTGTTGATTACCCGCTCTTATGACGACCATTATTCTCGAAATAATGGCGAATGACGACATAAAATGGTACTAAATCTTACCTTAAAATCGATGTAACCATTTTTGTCCATGTCGAATGTTCTGAACACGTGGTCGCAAAATTCTTCGGCGTTACCAGAAGGGAAAAACATCTTATACATATCTACAAATTTCGCAGGAGTTAGTCGACCATTTGGGCAGTCTTGCTGTAATAAAAGAAACATATTGGTTATTATAAATAGGATTCTACATGGGCACTAAGCTCTAATCTAATCTAATCGTGCCAATTTTTTTTTCACTAATTTTTGTGTGTGGTGATAGTTGTCAAACGACCCACGAAAATGGTGCTATTTTAAATAGAATTGTCAGCTTAAAATTAAAAGCTTCAAGAGTATTTTTAATTGTAAGATTTCCCAGTCTCTGCAACGCTGATATGAAAAATATATATATTTAGACATAAAAAAAATTGACCCTTAAATAACTTTGAGGATCGATTCCAAGGATATAACCATTGTTTTTTCCAAAATATAGAAATTTCATTATCTAAAGAAAAAAAGGTCGGCTTCCATATACAGCTTAACTATTAAAAACCGCTTATTAGATGTGTACAATTCGAAAACTTTTGTTATTTCGAAGATTATAAGTCCAAATATCTACTTGCCGGCACAATTCTCATTAGGCTTTAGATATATTAAAATTATACGTCAAGTATATAAATGGATAAGTTTATGGGCATTTTGAGGGATGAAGAATTTCTGTAGCCAGCTTTAATTATAAGTAGCAGCTTTCTTGCCAGTATCTATATTGAACGCATATATATT